TGGTGCAAAACTTAATATGAAGACAGTTTGCAGAACAAAATAGAGAAAATAGGAAACAAGTAGGAATTGAGTCCTAAAACCATCTACTCAGAACTGAGATGAAAGTGTATGGATGGAATAAAACAAAGAGGCATTATAAAGCAAAAGTTGATACAGCTTAAGTGTATCACATTTGTTTGTATTTAAGAAAGTAGATAGATTAAAATAAAATGGAAATAAGCTTTTAATCTCAACTCAGAGAAGTGCTGCATCATATAGAGCTAAAAACAAATTTGAAGGAGAGTTTGGTAGACGTTTTTGGTTTTAGTTTTAGGCATTTTAAGTATAAGGTAATGGTGAGCTGTCGAAGTTGGAATATACAAAAATGGATGGAAATGCTTTGAGAGAAAATTTATGGCTATAAATTAAGAGGATTTTGTGATTATCAGCACAGGAGCTCAAGCAGCGAGTGTGTTAAGTCATTAAAAAGGGAGGAAAGACCTGAGAGCCATGATTTAGCCGAAAGGGATCTCCTGTTAGTGGAGCAGAGAGCAAATAATCAGGAGGACACATCACAGAAGTTGAAAGAGAGGATATCAAAGGGCTGGCGTTCAGGGAGAATTTCATTAGGAGCTGCAAAATGATTAAGTGATAGTCTTAAGGAAAAAGATGATGCATTCAAAAAGACTTTTACATAGATGGAAGCGTAGGGTGAAGGAGATATTAGGTGTAGAGAAATAGGATCATAATTTTAGATGTATAGCCAGAAATTGAAAAGGAAAGAGAAGAGAGGTTAAAAGATCATCAGAATAATTCAAATATGCTTTAGATGACCACTAGGTTTAACACCTTGTGCTAGAAATTGTAGGAGACACAAGATTAATCAGACACTGCATTTGCATGTACTCATTCACAATTAATAAAAGAGGGGAGATAAGTATATTAAATTTTAATGAAGAAACCAGGCTATCATAAATGTAACTTGAAGTTTTTAGAACTATAGATCTGTAAAAATGAGCAGAGTACCTGAGTCATTCAAATACTGATTATGCTTCTTTAACAAAGATAGCCAAAAATACAGTGCTTGATTCAAAAAGTATTTATTTCTTCTACTCTGCAACCAAGAGGTGTGTAGTATAAGGGTCATGAGGCGTCTCTGTCATCCTCAGCCCAGGGCTTCTAAAAATCTGTAGTCATCACCGTTTCCTAAAAGATGAAGAAGGCCAAGAGAGTCCAAGGCAAATATCCTTAAAAATAATTATCAGAAGTTAAACACATCACATCTGTTCATATTGCAAAGGCTCATATTTAGTTACATTCAAGGGAAGAAAGTAGAGTTGTATTAGGTGGTCATCAATGTTCCTAGTAAAACTCAGGCAGAACAATGAATACTTAGGGGTAGTTACCAGTCTCTACCTTAGATACTTACTCCAAGAAAAGATCAGGAAAAGTAAAACTAAATGATGGCAGTGAGTTGGAATTGAAGGGTGGGTGCAGGATTTGAATAATGGAGGGAGTAGAGAGGGTATTACAGGCTAAAGGACAGGATCAAAGAAATGGTAAGAATCAATATAGGATTTGGGGGGAAAGTGGCCAGAGGCTGGTGAGTAGGAAAAAAAGCAATAGAACATAATCCTGAATGGTATTACGGAGCACAATGCAGAAGATCTTAAATTCCATGCTTAAATGTCTGGGTATTTTGTATGTAGGCTGTAGACATGATTGAAATTTTGTTTTTAATAGGGTTATATCATTTTAAAAATTATTCTACATGAAAATAAACTGGGAAGCAATATTTAGAGCTTTTAAACTTGGAATGCAAAGTGGAAAGACCGTCTCGGAGACTATAGCTACAGAATATGACAACCTGAACTGGCATTAATGTCAATGAAAATAAACAGGGAAGGAGGAGAGGAGGAAATGAAAGTCTTTCTGTAGGTAAACTTATATAAATTGACAACTGTTTGGAGGTCAGTGTTAGGAGAAAAGGAATGTAAAGAACTGAAGTTGACTCTAAAGTGTTCAGGATAAGCGAACTAAGGACTAAGAGCAGGACCTTTGTCACCTGACTTGGGAATGTCAGCAGGTGATGCTATTGACAGAGATGGAGAAGACAATAAAAGGGAAGGATTAGGGAGAAAGATTGTGGGTTCATATTGAACATATTAGCATTGAAAAGTCTATTATCTGGCCACTGGAAATTCACTTTAGATCTAGGAAGTGATTAGGATTAAATATAGATTTGAGGTGATTGAAATTTTTCTGATGGGCAGAAAAAAGTGTGGAAGTTAATAGAGTTTTTAAAAATGGTGAGTCAGAAGAATTAGAAGGAAGAAATATCAATCCATATTGACTCAAGATCTGTTGGAAACACAAAGGAAGGTGTTAAGCATAGCAGTTAATCTTAGATGGGAGAGGTAATTCAGCTTAGGAAAAAAACCAAAACAAAACAGACTGGAACTATAATCAGAGCTGTGTTGACTTCAGTGTGAGTGTCAGTGAAGTGTGTGTGTGTGTGTGTGTTGAAGGTTAACTTATATCACACCATTAGAAGAATGTTACTGCATCAAATGGAGACAGAAGAAAAGCTTTCTGAGTGTCACCATGAAGAACAAATGGAAAATTCAAGTTAGATAGCATTTTTGTTAGGCTAATTCTACCTCTTTTGGGGCCACTGGAGATCTTCATGCGAAAGTAAAAAGCAGGCAGAGTGGAGAAGGTGAAAGGTGTACATAATTTGAATTTAAGTATTAGTTTGTCATACATTTTTTCCTTTCTTTCAATTAAATTATGTAATAGTCACTCACTGCAGTAGTTATTAGTCTCTTGAAACCAGTGTATTTCCAGATTCTTCCTCCATACTTTTTCCATTTCCCCTTCCACTTTCCTCATTTCTCTTTCCCTGTCTTTCTTCCTTCCTTTCCTACCTTCTCAGAATAAAAAATATATGTATTTTTTTATATGTACATGCATAAATACATACACATGTGGAGAGGAAGGGCAGAATACTCCATATTTATACTTCCATTTCTGCAACCCCCAAAACTACATCTCCCTCTCCCATTCCATGGAATCCCTTGAAGCACTTATAAAACTCAAGGGCTCATGGGATTCTGTGTGAAAACCAGAGATCTTGATTAGCCAGGTTTTACATGCTCACTCTCTGTGGTTATGTTTTTAGGATTTGTTATGCACAAAAACTAAATTCAGCTTTTACAGACCACCTTTATGTTTATAGCTGATATACTGTCAACAGTAGGAAAAGAAAAGTTTAATTATCCAGGAATCAGAATAGGAGTCAGAACATGTAACTACAGGCAAAGTCGCATTTTAAAATATTTATTATTTAAAAATAGAGTTTATATAACTTGTCCAAGGCCATGGAGATGCATGGTTCAGTTGCAGAGCCTGTGATCTGGTTACTAGATTTATAGTACCTATTGTTACTATATTGTTACTGTGTGTGTGTATATATATATATATATATATATATATATATATATATATATATAGTTACTATAGTATCTATTGTTTATAGATAGTTAATTGAAAATTAATAATATTTTGCTTTTTAAAAAAGACAGTCTTGGATAAAGTTTGATGACCAACATTCTAATACTTTGAAGTACTTTTAAAAATGTACATAACTAAAAAAAAAGGTATGTAACTATTTTTACTAGGGTAAAAGTAATAAAGGAATTTAAATAAAAATAAAATGTTTACCACCAAAGCTAGTTCTACTTCAGTCAAACATAACAAATCAGATCAGAATGTTTAATTACTATCCAATCAACCTTTCTGTTCAGTATGAAAGTCTAACTTAGAGAACCAAACAAAACATTCCTTCATTTGTCAAGGACAGGCTATTAAAACAAGGGTGTTCTAAACATTGCATTAGGAAGATGTAAATGGTTTGTTTGATCATCTGAATTTTAATATGTCAGAAAGATTATTGTGAAGAAAATTGGGCTTTCTGAAGTGACAGATACATTATACATTATTCAAATAACTTTGATAGAATGCAAGATTTTTTAATGCTTTCATAAAGGGCACGCACACTAATTTTGATTGGTAAAAGAGTGGCTTTAAAATTTGAGATATTAGGGAAAATATTTTGTTAGTTTAGTTTTGATAGTACCATTAATTGAAAAATATATCTGGATTATAACTAGGATAAATTATGTGTACACATGACAACTTATGAAGTTCTTGGTTTAAATTTTTTAAGAGATTTTGTTTATATTTCTAAAACCATCTATAATTGGCCTCAAAAATTAGAGTAATTTTCTTTGTCTTAAAACAGTGATTCAAACTATTTGAAAACAAATAATATGTGGATACCAGTCTCCGTATGCATTCCTGCTTCTCACACTGCTTTGATATCTTGCATATTGCCAGCCTCTCTGAAACATATAATGAAGTCAGAAGCATATATCAGAGTGTAGCTCATTCTGATTTGGTTTTCTGTTTGGATCTGAGTTTGTCACACATTAAGATATAAATCCATGATACTGTATTCTTATATAAAAATAATTATTCACTGATTATTTAATCTCTTTCACTTTGGTAGTCTCTATTATATCATAAAAAATTCTCAAAGTGATTTTGTATGATTTCTTCTGTCTTTAACAATTTTCCGCAGTTTTAAAAATGTTTATTTCATACTTGTTTATTTTCTTCTTTAATGAATTTCTAGTCTTTAAAAAAAAATTCGTTAATCCTGCTCTTGAAAAGCCTGCATCTTAAAAATCTTTGTTTACTGATACACAGATTTTTCTCTTATGTCATATATGGTAAAGAAATGCTACTAATCATCTTAGTATGTAATCAGCTGATAAGGACAGGTATCTTTAAAATCTAGAACTTGCTGTCATGAATATGAAATTGTACTATAAAAGTGCTGATTTCTGGTTTCTGCTTAATCTTACCTGTCTTTCTGTTTCTTTTGCAGCAAAAATACTGGATAGAATGTCCTCTTACTGCCATTTAAACATACTCTTTTCTTCTGTCAATTACCACAGGTTTAGTCCCTATGAGTGGTATAACCCACACCCTTGCAACCCCGACTCAGACGTGGTGGAAAACAATTTCACCTTGCTAAATAGTTTCTGGTTTGGAGTTGGAGCTCTCATGCAGCAAGGTATACGATTCAGCCTGCTCTTCCCCTTGGGCACCATGTCCCACTCTTTGCTGGGGTGACAGCTCTTGCTGGCACCAGTCGCTTGCATGGGTGCCTCTCTGCATGTAACCATAATCCAGCTTCTCCATCTTTCTGATGCATTTAGGCATTCTCAAATCCCATCCAAGGGAGATTCTGAGAAAGTAATTAGCTTTTGCAGTTGCACATAAAGTAAAGCATCTAACTTTCTTAACCTACGGTAGATACATTATCTCATAGATAACCAAGCTAACCTGATCCATTAGCTAGAAGCTGCGTTTAAAGCACTATTAAGATTGCATCTTCTTGAGACAAGAATACAGTGTATTGCTCCTGTTTCCTGTTTCATTTTGATGTAAAAAATTCCCTTTCCTATCAATTCTTGATGACTAGATGCCTTTATATTGCATGATTAGTAAATCTACTGCATATAAATTTGTAAAAATAAAATATTTAACCATTTAGAGTTACCTTTACAAGTAAAATATTAGCTGCATCTGATAGTATATAAGAATATAAAGTATTGCATGCTGAGAAGTGCATGCAAAAATACTCTTTCATAATTATTTTAAAATTATAATATTGATGTTAAAAGTAAAGGCTACATTTCTTAGAAAATGACATAATACATGCAATATGTTTTAATGGTATATTTATAACTATGAATTTATTATTTTAGTCTCAGTTCTCCCAAGCTGATTTTTTTATTTTTGCTGCTATGATTTCTTTTATTAATCTTTTAATATTTATATAAAGTTCAGTAAATTGATATGTCAGACCTGCTACTCAATATAAAGGATTTCAAAACCAGACTATTTTATGCATTTAAAATGTAATATTTTTAAGTTTTAAAATTTTGTAAATAAATCAAAATGCCCTTTAACAACTGACAGTGACCGGATTAAGGAAAGAAAACATACTTATTTATAAGAGTTACCACACCCATATAAGGGTTTATCTTAAATTTTACTGGTGTATTTATGATCCACATTGAAGAAATTCATTTGGCAATTTCATTACAGAACTGAAGAAGAGAAAATTTATTGTTAAGTTATAAATTGTTGTTAATAAAATAGGTACTTTGCTTTTGCATGTTTAATATTATGCATAAATCCATTATTTCTGTTTCATTTATAAACTACTTCCTAAACTAAAAGTAAATATTTACATATTAAAAGGAAAAAATTAACTTAAATTCATGTTGCAAGCAATCCTACTAATGAGATAATTTTTGCTTTTAAAAATATGAACATCCAGATATATAGCCTTTTAGGTATTTAAATCTGAAACTTGAAAGTTCAGAGAACTCTTACATAAGCTAATTAAGCTTGTGGCATATCTTTCTAAATAAAATGAATAATCAATAATTGTATTTGCCCTTTTGTACATTTTGGCTCCAGTGGCTTTTTACCCCCTTAGATTTATTTACAGTTGGATGATAATATTGGAGTTCTTTTAAAATATAAAAGTGAATAAAAATACGTCATATGAGACAGGCGTCTCTTCCAAGTAGCACTGGATTATGTGATTTACCCAGGAACATTGCTAGTAACCTGCTAATAACTAACTTTGATAGCCTGGAACAAATTATTCTCATCATAAATACCTAACCATAATAAAGTTTTTGAAATTATTTTTCCTACCACTTTGAAAAATAGGATATTATTTTTATGTATAATTTATGAAATATTTGGATGTTTTTGAATTTCAGTATTGGTGAGATGAACTTGATATTTATAAAATCTAGCAATTAGAAATAAAATTATATCTAATATCTCTAAAATGATGACAAGCAATCCAAGCAATGCAAAATTCAAATGTACATTTGCTTTGCCACATAACTACTTCACTGCTGGTGGATACATGAAAGAGGAACCCATACTATTCTGGCTGATGCCCAGCTCCCCAGGAATTAGTGGGATATAGTGCTGGACATGACGTTACCTTGAGTACATGACAGTCAGCCCCTAACCAGGCTCTGATTCACAAGCCTAGGAGGTATTCACTTTAAGTTCTTGGGTAAGATATGAACTTGTGGTAATTGGGCCATTTTTGTCGAATGTCTCCACTGTTCTTTTCTTTCCCAGTCTTGTTTGACTTTATTGGTGTTGTTGTTCAAAAAAAAAAAGAAAAGAAAAGAAATGGTAGACTGGGCAGCCAAAGCTGCTGACCATGGTGGGACTATTTTAGTGTTTTGGTGTCCAAGTGTGTGTCTGACAGGGCCTAGGAGCAACTCCATCAGAAAGGTACTTTTCTGTTTTATTTTGTTTTGTTTTTCTTACAGAGTGGTAGGCAAGAGTCTGGAGCTGGAGTTGGCTGTCATGTCCAAGTCTGTCTGCTTTCTAAAATGTTGTTTGTTTGTTTGAAATTGGAAGGGTAAGATGAACTGCAGTATAAGATGGGCTGTTTTGCTAGAACCAAGTCATGATACTACTTCTTTTCAATGGTAGCATGAATAATTTGTTGTATGTTTAATGCATAAAGAGATATGTTATCTTACTGTATTTGTTATTATATTTAAAAATATATAAAACATGGAGTCCATCTTTGCTTCATTCCATTTTACTCAAACCTTATTAAAATTAATTTACTCGTAGACAATGCTTTCTTGATTATAGGTTCAAAATGATGAAGGGTAAATAGTAATATATATATACATAAATTTTGTATAATTTTCTTATTAAAAAAGTTATGCATGTGATATTTATATATTTACATATTAAGGCTGTAAATAACATGGTAGAACTAAAAGACAATTTAAAAAGTGTTAGAATTTTAATGTATAATCTAAATTAATTAAAATTAATAATAATCAAAAGCAAAATGTAATGATCAGATCTCATTCTCTTATTAATACCATGAGCAGGCAACTCCAGCCATGTATTGTGCTAGTACTATGAAATTTGTATATGTGTGTAAAAATAAATTTATGCCAATTTATTTATTCTTATTCTGATTTCCCTCACTGAAGCTAACTATAGTGACAGGAGACATTTGTTTATGCATAAAAAATAGTTTACTACCTATTTTAAAATAAACACTGGACTGAAGCCCCCTGGCTCAAAAAATGTGGATAAGTGAAGTTATATTCATACATTACTTTTTAAAATAGCAGTATGGACAAGATTTTTGAGCTTCATGCACATGAGTAATGAAACTTCACATAAATAAAGCTTGTTAAGAAATGGATCAAAATGTACATTAAGTCATTTCTTCTAAAACCTACTTAACTAACAAGAATATGAAAATCTATAAAAGTAGTTTATAAACAGGAGAGATATTTCTCGATTCTAATGCTATTTTTGTAAAGGTTGTATGTCATTAATATGTGATTCTTATTTTGTACTGTCTCAGGTAGAGCTCTAGTCTCCTGTCACTATATGTAAACACAGATGTCCTAAGGGACATGCTATCTGAAATTAGCCTCTGCTCTCCCAGTGGTTGTTCCTTGCTTACTAAAGTGATATGTAAATCTATGATTTAAGCTTTTATTACACAGTGATTCCATTCTTCCACTGTGACCAAAAGTACCTGACTGCTGATCAAATTCTCTGTATTCGTCTCACCTTTTCTCCCCAATCTTCGTTAGGTTCTGAGCTCATGCCCAAAGCGCTCTCCACCAGGATAGTGGGAGGCATTTGGTGGTTTTTCACACTTATCATCATTTCTTCGTATACTGCTAACTTAGCCGCCTTTCTGACAGTGGAACGCATGGAATCCCCTATTGACTCTGCTGATGATTTAGCTAAACAAACCAAGATAGAGTATGGAGCAGTAGAGGATGGCGCAACCATGACTTTTTTCAAGGTAAGTCCTACTGCTTATCTAAAATTTATGTATCATAATGACAGAATGCAAACCTTTCCGTGTTAATGAATGTAAGAGCATAGGAACATTGTTATTTGTAGAGAATAATCAATCGCGTATTTCTCATGGGATGGAGACATATTCAACTAAATATATGGTCATCAAGGCAAATCATTTTAATACTTGCAAATGGCAAGGAGTTGTTGCTTTATACGTATTTCGTCTTTGTTTGAAGGAAAATCTGTTCAGAAGTAACATTATTTTCCCCACCAAGGTTTTGTCATTGAATGTAAGTAGATAAAGTGATATATCTATTGAAAAATTGAATAATGGGAAAGTCAGACTCTACAAGGTGTGGATATTCCAGAAGAATAAAATGATTACATGTAAGAATGTTTTCCATACAGGCATTTCTTTCTGTTAAGATGGAAGAGCTTTCACTTGTTGAGAGCCTACAGAAAAACAAGGAAAATAAGCACAAACAGTTTCGTATTCACTGGACAATCATCCATCTAATATTCTGGAAGGCATAGAATATCAAAATGGCCTACCCCATTGTCATGCAGTGGTTTCCAGTGGGGAAGTGTGTTAAACATTTAAATGGAAATTATGGTGGCACCAAATTCCGGGCACATAGCATCTTGTCCTCCTTTTTAATATTCAGATTGTCTCCTTACTTCCACCGATCTCATTGGGTCAGAGTAGTGCCAACGAGGAGATTCCACTTTAGGGACTCAGTATCATGTCTTAATTTATCTTCTATTTTACTGAGTATTTTTATATTGCTTATAGTTTAGCAAATTTTTAAGCCTTGGTATTTTCCTTCATTGTTCACACAAATGCAGTTGGCAGTTCAAGTGGGCAGAAGTGGTAGATTGTTTTTCTCTGTAAAAAATAATTGACTCAAACTATAAAAATTATTTCAACAAACCTCCAGTAAGCACCTACCAAGTACCAGAAATTGTGCTACACATTGGGTATTCTAGAGCAAATAATATTTAATTCTCACTTTTAAGACACATAGTTTGTTGGAGACAGGATCAGCGATCATATAACAGGATTTTATATGACTTAACTTGCCAAATAATTATATAATTTTCTTTGTAAAAATTCTTACCAAATTAAATCAGCTTTTTTGGGGGTTCTGGAGATCACCAAATGCCTAAAGAATGAGATCGATTGAATGTTTTAGTCAAATCCACGTAATTCTTAAAATTAAATTGCTTTCAAAGAGAATATTTTTAATGGCTAGCTTAAAGATTACATGCATATTTTACATTTAATTGGAAAATTATTATCATTTAATCAAATTTATTGAATAATCAAATATGAGCAAGTCATTGAGATAATATGGTGCTATTTGATTATAGTAATTGCAATTGATCATTTTTCCTGAGTATTAAATTTTAATAGAGATTGTTTTTTTTATTAAAGAAAACCTTTTTCTAATTAAAAAAAAAGAGACTAGCTGTTGACAATTATAAATGTATGTTATCAGTGTCAGTAATTTGTAGAGAGTGAATATGTGGTGCATTTAAATTATCATAGTATTCAATGGACTTTTGAGGTTGAGTTTGTGCAATAATGCATATAAAATACTAATGCAAGTGGTCTGATACTAGAAGTAATTATTTTAGCTTCACAAATACTTCAAATTTTGCTTTTATTTTCTAGATTACTCACATACCCTGTTTCAAAGCTCTTGTGTATTATAGCAAGGTGCACCTCTGGAAAAATCACTGTTTGAAAATTTTCACCTTTTCCCCATCTTTGAGCTTATTTCTCCGTTTCTTCTCTTTACAATCTTTCTGGTCTTCTGCTATGCTTTTTGTTGCTATTGTTGTTGTTTTAGTTCAGTTGCTCTCTGGCAGTGTCATTTTACCTAACTTCACTTTTCTTTGCTGCTCACTTTTCTTCTCAGTCTTTCATCTCTCGTTTTCCTTGCTCACACATGGGAGTGCCTCTAGCACCCAGAGAAAATTGATGTGAAACAACTTTCTGTTTCTAGCAGCACAGACTTTCTTTCTGTAAAATTGAAGCCTTTGGGAATGTGCGATAGTCACAATAAAAACCACACACTGATAATCACTAAGGTGACAATTATGTTGTTAGTTTTATCACATGCTGACATCGTACTATTGAAACTTGAAAAGGCATCAAAATTTGAAAGGAAACAGTATTCAGTAAATGTTGATTTTTTCCTTAGTTATTTTAGTGTATCCCTAGATGATACTAATTTCAGCTACATATTTTGGCTTGTTACAACTATATGCTTATACCAGCTATTGGTATGAAATTATTTTTCATATGAAAGCTCCTTTCCTGGTGGCTCAGATGGTGAACAATCTGCCTGCAATGCCAGAGACCCGGGTTCGATCCCTGGGTTGGAAAGATCCCCTGGAAAAGGTAATGGCAACCCACTCAATATTCTTGCCGGGAGAACTCCATGGATAGAAGAGCCTGGCAGATACAGTCCATGGTGTCCCAAAGAGTGGAACATGACTGAGAGATGAACACTTCACTTTCTATATCAGCTATTAGTATGAATTAAAAAAAATCCCTACCAATCTGGAATTGAAGCAATTGCACACTCATTTTGAAATTCTACAATGAATCAGAGACTATTGCGTGTAGTCAATTTACATCTGATACCATTATTTTATTTCTTAATTAACAGCAATGCATACAAACACTCTAGGAAGCACCCTTAAGGCATTGACTTTCTAAAGGAATTTCCATCCTGTTTTTACTAATTGAATAAGACCCTGCTGTTAGCTAATTGTTCTGGAACAGCTCAGTTCCAAAAATTATTTTAAATAGTAAAGTTGTATTACTACAAGCAAGAGCTGGCTCAAGATATCTGGGCTTAAAGGAGGGGCGAGTCTTCAGTATTGCAAAAACAGAGTTACACAGTCATTCTACAACACAGAATTATTCTTTTTCCAACGAACATGCTTGACTTTGTTCATTGACCTTACTTGTATACTGTTGTCAAGAAGATTTCATTCATCTCCCCTATATCCATTACACACCACACACTCTCTCCAGGGATAAATGTAAAGCAATAACTGGGAAAAAAACTCAAAATTGAGCAGACTGGTTCTTCATTATAATCTCATGTAAAACAATAGAGAGCTATATGACATTGCCAATATGATCATAGTCATATTTAGATAATAAAATAGATGAGGGCTCAGGGATCTTATTGAAAAACAATAAACTAGGAGTTAAAACATTCTTCTCAGAATCTAGGAACTTGGTGCAGCCAAACTGAAACCTCACCCCAACACAATACAGAATGTTACCAAGCAACTACCACATTCTTTTCTCCTTGGAGTATAAAGATTAGGAGAATGAATGCATGTAGATTATCAACTCAAAAATAACTCAGCTATAGCCTGTAGGTATTATGGTCTCTTCTGAGAATCCCTATATTTTCAAAGTGAATCATGTGTTTTACAAAATGATGCTGAAATCACCTTGCTTCTGTGCAACTTGTGACTCAGGTTTTTCAATTTCTACAAATTTTCTCTCTGGGTTTGGTCTCCCTGAAATCACTGGTTTTGTTACATATATTAATATAGTCTGTCTTTCCTAAAGATATCACAGGAAATAGGTGTCCACTTTTATAGTTATTAAATAAATTCTGCCACATGTTGAAAGGACATTTAAGTAGTATCAAATATCTAATGTAAATCACTTAATACTTCTGAACATATAGTCTACAATTTAGAATAGTTAAGAGAGAAGGAAACTGGAATCAGAGAAACCTGAGCTTAATTCCTCACTTCATCCATCTACTATCAGTGTTACATAGTTAGGTTTCCTTTAAGGCAGCAACTCACTTTTTTTTTAAACCAAATTCTGTACAGTTATCTTTTGGAACAATGAATATTGCATTCATTGATGCAACACCTGTGATAAAGGATTTTAGCTGTGTTTAGAATATATGTTTACTTTGAAATTTTTTCTATTCTCTAGTGAGTTGTAAAGGTTTCTTCAAAATATATAGCCCTCTGTAGTATTTTCATTTTAACCTTGCGTTAAAATATCAATTTATTCAGGAGTGTATGAAGGTTACAGAGTTAGGAATGCAAGCAAGTGAATTAATACATCTGGGAGGGTAGTTTTATCTTTTGTTACTTAGTACCAAAGAAGGTATTATTTTGTTTCATTTTCCTTTGTGCATAGTTTCCCTCTTTAGAAGAACTCAAAGTGCATTCTAAATGCCAACTCATTAATCTTGCCAGCAACCCCTAGGAAGGTAGGAAGCAATTATCATTATGCTCATTTAACAGATGAGGAAACTGGGCCATGGAGAGGTTAAGTGACTTATTAATTATGAAACCAATAACCAAGGAACTCATAGTATTGACAATAAAAGTAATAGCCAAAGACATCATGGCATAACCATCATTACTCAAAAGAGCTAAATGCATTAGTCATTTGGGCTGACCCACATGACCTCAACTGTTTGATCATATTAAGTTTCTAAAACATTTGCCTTAAACCATTGGGGCATATACAACTATAGCATGTTCTGTATAGTCTGCTACTTATTCTGAGCTTATCAGTTCAATGGTCTTCTAAAATTAAATTATGCCAGGGTGACAGTATAGGTTTTTAAGGCTGAATTGCTTGTGTGGCATGCCTGTAATGATTTTCTGAAAGCTTGACTGATTTTTGCTTCTTAAATGCCAAAAGAACATAAGTAATTTCTGAGTCAAGGGATAGAATGTAAAAAGTTGACAGTTTACTGCATGCAGTTAATAAATGGATTTAGAAACATACTATTCATAGATCTTAATTTCTGCAAAACATAAATTCTGTTCTTTTGATTGAGAATAGTGGTGCTAATGGAATTATAATATATTTACTATAAAGAGATTTATACATTAGAAAAGTAAATTCTTAACATGGCATCTATAGTTATTTTTCAGATTGAAAAGTGTTTTCTGAAATAAATGTTTATTTTCCTCTTAAATTGATGGTAAAATACT